GTTGCCAAAGAACATGGGGTTGTTCCGAAATGTTCCGAACATATCCGGAGAATCGACTCGGTGTTCCAAAATTCGGTTGTCGAGGAAGCTCGCAGGAGGAAATGCACCAGGCAAAAGGCGGAAGGTGGTCCAGCCGGTGTTTCGCATAGGTGTGGCTGAGGCAAGTTGCTGGAACTTACAAAGCAGATGCGTGTGTGTTTTCCCTTGCACATGGCATGTGTCCGGCTAAGAAACATCTTGCATTTGCAAGGTCTCGATGATAAGGCGTTGTTAATGTTTCCTCATTTTTGAAGATGGCTCAAAGAAAGAAGTCAAGTCGTTCATACTTCATCACGATTTCACAAATGCACCTTCAGTTTGATGTTCCGGCACCTTGGTGAGAGGTTGCCATTTTCAGAAAGTGTCAGACCCGCTCCAAGGTCCACATGAGCTTGAACAGACCTCCCGCAGGGTTTGCTACTTTGCTCTGTAAGTGGTGAGCATTTGCCTCTCCAAGGTGGACAAGCGAAGAGAGCTCATCATTAGGCGCCGGGGTCTGCGTTGCTGTCGAATCCACCTCCAAGTTAAAATCCTCTGGCTGGATCCCATGTCAGTCTCTGACAGAGCTTCGCACCCGGTGGGAAGGGCGCTCCGGCGAACCGGAATCGCATGCTGGTGACGGGCTCACGTGAAATCTGTCGCTCAGGCGCGCAGCCAAAGAGTTGAAGGATGGCATGTATGTCAACCTGGGCATCGGCATGCCCACGCTTCTTGGCGCAAGCTGGTTGTGTCGGTCGCGAGTTGCTTGGCCATGTCAGAAGCAGGTCGGGCTAAGCACGTTTGTCGTTTGAACGTTTAAACATAAACATGTGAAACACGTTTAGACTGACCTTGCTAAACATAAACGTGCAGAATCAAGGTTCGGTCAGCGCCCCATGTCAAAACACTTGTAGGAGTTTAAACAGCTCGCTGAGCTTAGTGCAAAGAGGCCAGACTGACCGTTTCTGCATGTTTGAGCAAACCGGTCATGTGCCAGCATTGTGGTGGTGTTCAATAAACAGCACCGGCGTGTTTAAACACTTTGGGCGTTTAAACATTTTGAGGGTCACTCTGCTTTGCGCAAGGAGGACTGGCTCACGATTTTCAGCATGTTTGAGCAGACCAGAGACGGATCCTGGGTGTTTAAACAGTCCCCATGCTTAAACATGTTTTTGGTGTTTAAACGGCCTGTTTCTGCGTCTGGTTCAAACATTGACATTTGTTTGTTCAATCGTTTAGAGCGTCCGCGTCGTTTGAACTGTTTAAACACAACATTTCACCTGCCCAGCTGTGGTTAGAAGACGCCCTCCGGTCTGATGAAGTGCCAAAGAAGTGGAGTTCCCCACATTGGCTTTGGATCCTTTCAGTCTGTAAGTTGAGAGCCATCCGTGGCGCCCGCGCCGCACCGCCTGTTCAGGCATGAGGGAGCTGTTCCAAGTGGCCTGATTTATCAGCGGGAAGGGCTGCAAGATCACAGGCCACCAGCAAATCAGGACAGGTTGAAACTCTTCCTTTCCTTTGTCCTTTGTGCAGGCTTTTCCGGCTTTTTCTGCCTGAGCACCAGAAATGAACCTGGATGAGCCCAGCCTGGCAGTCGCCAGAATGGAACTTGGGGGAGTCCAAGACGATATTGCGCGGACCATTTTTTGTGAGCGGGTCCGTGAGCGGCCAAAGGCTTGTCAGCAACTACCTGGAGCCCGGAGCCGGGAGCTTATGAGGCGTTGCTCCATCCAAACCTGAACGGGGAAAAAAAATAATTCGGATTCTTTTGGTGTTCGTTGGTTTCCGTTTAGGGGCCAAATGTCTAACCCTTGTGCCTGGGTCATTGGAGCAACCCTGTGCATGGCCAAGTGTCCGTGCTACAAGCACTTTACATGCAAAGCTGCTGCTATCATTAAGTTCGCATTCCTTCAGCAATTTGGGGCCTGGGCCGGCTCCAGTGGAAATCAGTCCTGATTGTACTTCAGATTGATTCAAAAGACCAAGCTCTACAGGGTGCTCATCCCAATCCGCTGCCTACTGCAGCTCCGGGCAATGCATGTGAGAGTCGCTTGTTCCCAGCAAGTTGGCGCGTAGCGGCCGCTTCTCGGAGAAATCTCAATGCTTTCTGGGTTCAAGGCTATGATCTTTCCACAGCTTGGGATTTTGAGAGTGGTCAGGTCAAGCATTTCCATTGGAACCCGGTCCTGGCTATTGGAACATTGCTTGCTCAACTTAGCCGTTTTACACATCTTGTCTGTTTCTCGCTTTAACTTTTTGACAAACACAGGTGGCAAACGTGGTTTTAGGGCTAGCTAGCTTTCGTTGAAACACCTCTCAAGTGATCATTGTTCCCACTGTTCCACTGTGTTCGGTGCGGGAAATCCATCACGGAGCAAAAAGAGAACTGGACTTGCTCCACTCGCAAACTAAACTGCGGGGTTCACAGAAGCAGACACTCTTTTTAGGTTGACGCGTTTCGTTGTCGCTTTGGTGCCCGCTTTCAAGGACGACAGAACCACAGTTGGGCCAACCCCTGTTGAAACATGTTCAAACACCTATTGTGCAAACCACCTCTTTGACATCCCCCTGTAACAAATTTTGCCCACAGCCTAAAGCGAGCACAGGTGCGGATCGAGCTGCAGAGCGAGAACGGGCTGCTGGGCATTGGACCATATCCGAAAGAGAGTGAGGCTGCATCGCGGAGTGTGTTCGCAGAACTTCTGTGTGTGAATGTGTGTGTATGTTGTTGTTTTTGAGGGTACCCTTCGCAGGTTGCTAAAAAGGGAAACCAAAAGCAAAGCGACCGTTTTGGGGGTCCCCCTATTTTGAGAAATCGCCACATTGTTTTTTTTTTCCCCGAGTTACATCCCCAAGAGACAAGTATTGGGAGTCATGAATCTGAATCCGTTTTCTAAGGGTTCCCAATAACTCTACTTGCCCTTGCCATATGGGTGGTCAAACCTCCTGGTCAGGAACCTCATTTTTGGGAGCGTCCACTTGCGCAGGTGGACCCTGACGTCATCAACGCGGGCAAGGCCGCCTGCCAAAGCGGTCGAAATGCGCTCCTTTTTTGGGGGCGGGGGGAGGGGGGTGTTTTAATTAATGGGCACCCCCGTGACTTAAGACCCGCACAGTGCCGACAAAAACTGTCCATGTTTGCGAGCTCTCTTCCTGTTTTGGGGGTTGTTTTTAACTAAAACTAGGGGGAACCCCGGTTCGGAGGAAAGCGGTCTGTCAGGGACCTCCAGTCAGGTTCCATGCTGAAGGCAGAAACGAGGAGATCAACCATTTTGGGCTCCCTATTTTGAGAAGCACTCAAATGTGCCATGGTGAAATCAACAAGCTTGCAAAAGCTTGGGGGCTGCTAGGGAGCCTTTGAGTGGAGGTCGGACACTTGGAGCAGACGAGGGATGGTTAGGGAGCCTGTCATGTGATGTTTGGAATTCATGGTGCATGGGTCGTTCTACAGGTTCCAACAACGTTCCGAATGTTCGAGCGATATTTCTCGGTTGTATTTTTTCGTGTGTTTTGTTCCGTGCGCCCAAGAAGGCAGCTGAACGGGCTCAAGCTTTTGTGTCAGACTGGTTGAGTCGTGAAGGGGCAGCATGGGGGAATCGAATTGGTTGGTGCCCATGATTCCTCATGTGGAAGATGTTCAGGGAATCAACTATGGCGAGGCAGGATCACTTCCACACCAGACACCTTGATTAGTTAGAGCCTGATCGCTTGTGGACCTCTTTTTGAAGTCTTACTCGACGTGTTTGCTGCAAGCAGGACCTTCAGGTTCTATGTCCATTGCAGGAGACCGTCACCATGCTGCCGGGCTCCTCTTTGTTCTCCTCCTCTGAGTCCTTTGGTATGATCCGGGGGCCGGCTCCTCAGTCAGGAGTGGGGGCATATGGGTGTGTGTGTGTTTTGCTGGAGGCTACCTATGTGGCCTTCATGGAAAGCCAAAGGCAAAGGACCCATTTTGAGGGCGCCCATGTATAGAAGCAGACCCACATGATAGGGGAATGTGTCATGCTTGCAAGTTTGAGGTGAATGTGTGTGGCTCGGGTGAGAGTTCGGCTGTGGGCAGAAGTTGGATAGAGACACCTCTACATAAACAGCACCCGCTTCTGCAATAAGCAGCTTGTGACCTGCCAAGGATTTTTCCTAGTTGTCTAGCCCGCCATGTAACACCCCCTTTGTGTACAAGAATGACACACGGCACAAACGCTTGTTGTTTGCACGGGATGACCACCACCTCAACTCTCCGAGGGCGCATGCGGGGTGCACGATGGTTGCGTATCCACGTTCGAAAAGAGATCTGGACAAAGCCCGCTTCCAGGTTGGACACGGGCACGGAATCGAGCGCCACCTAACATGTGGTGAACTTTGATATATTCCCCTGCTAATACATGAACCCTAAGAATACACAGGTCAACATATATATATATATATACATTATCCTGAACCCCAAGTTTCAAAGTGCTGAATTATGTTTTGGCAATACTAAGCCAATTTCTATGCTCCCAGATTTCCCGCCGACCCCAACTCCAGTCGTATTAGGGGGCTTCCCGACGGCTCCCCCAAGGCAGTTAATACTCCAATTGTAACTTCAAGCTTGAAATTGTCATTCTATGTTGTAAATGTTGCCACATTCAAGCTGTAATTTCAAGCTGAATTCTATGTTTGCCCTTGTAAATGTGTTTTAGTATCCAGCAAAGTGCCTCCAACGATTCCTTTACATTCCTTACTCGCAATTACGACTTTAACGGTATGTTGTGCCCAGCGTGAAAGAAAGCATTTGGACGACGACCGAAGCGCAAAGCGTTAAGCTTGTGAGTGGTGCGGCGATATCTGAAAAAGAATAACTACCATGTGTGCGTGTGTGTGTGTGTGGTGCGTTTGCATCCGTTTCTTGACTACCATCATTGTATTCGTCAAAGGCGCTGTACCTCTCAACAGTCCATTCCACTTCTGAGTCTTGTAGCGTGGCTGTTGCCCCGTTGCCCTCCTTGTGAAGGCAAGAATACTGGCAACCTTCGCGTATATATTCATGGCAAGCAAGATTCAGGTGGCAAGAGATTTAACCATCCAGACGAATTGCAGCCTCGTGCATCAGTCAAACGGTGAGTTTACAGACCTGGTTGTGGAGTAGTCTTTGATTGTTTTTGGGTCTGAGCATGTTGCCAAATCGCTGAGTATATTTTTGAGACCTGCTTGCAAAACAACTTAGTCGCCTCTGCGCTGGGCTGAACTGCAGCAGCCTGACACGCAACCAATGATGATGGGAGTAATTTTGGAAATCCATGCAGTTCTCAAGAGCCGTGTCTTTATGTCGGCGAGTTGCGCATTCATGACAGTTGACAGGGTGCATTGGAATCCCGTCATTTACAAGTGGCAATTTGTCCACTTCCATCTTGAAAGGTTCTCGTCCAAGTCATTCTTTGGTCGGTGAATTGTCAGCATGAGCAACATACAAGATTTCTGGGGTGTCGGTCGCATTATTCTCGCTTACTCACATGGTGGATGCGGGTCATTTCCACACCATCCACGGAGTTGCTAAAAATGGATAGTTGCCACATGGACCGGGAGGCTGCTCTATGCCACAAAAGGTCCATGGTGGTATGCTCCCTTTGCTTGCTGGTGCTCAGTAGGGAATGAGGGAATGAACCCAGCGGTCCCATCAAAGGAAACCACTAGTTGGATGGGTTTATAGGGCCTACAGGGGTCATGAGTCGAGCCATTTCTCATTCCCTTTTGTCACCGATCGCAAGTTCAGTGTCTTGTCAAGCCGCACGCCGCGCATGAGGTCCAAGGTGGATGTCACCATCCTGGGCGCCATGGAGGCGAAAAACATCGCATGGGTGGAGCGGATGTGACGTCCGAAAGGAGTCGAAAGGTCGGAGCTGTTTGCTCTGGCTCTGACAGTGTTTTTTTCTTTTTTAAGAAAAAATAGAAAGGTTTTGGAGATGTTGGTTCAAGTGCAAGTGAAGAGTCTGAGCTTCAACAGGCAAGTTGGTCAGCATGCATGCCGGCGCCTAAGGAGACTTGTGCAAGCCAGCATTAGCGGCAAGCCCGGAGGAAGAAGCCGGGCCGGACTTAGCGTCCAAAAGCGGATCCGTTTCAGATCGAATCTTTGCTTCGGTTCCCCTTTTTTGGTTAGTTTTAAGGAGCATTGAAAGGAAAACCACCGTCTTTGGTGGTCCCTAGTTTGAGACAAACCTGGTCCCTACATCGATATCGGTGACGTTTGATGCGCCGCAGCTGAACATGTTTTGCCAGGTGGCGGCTAACGGGGACCTCGCCAACTGGATCATTCCTGGGAAGATGGTGAAGGCAACAAACCCCCTTGTGTCCACCAACATGGAACCCACCAGAGGGTCTTTGAGAGGAGCGTGGTCTTCCAGGAACACCCAGTCAGGTTCCATCTTTTTTGGTTGACAGAGTAGGGGCCAAATATTTGCACGCATGTGCATCCCATGATCAGGATGCAATATGGTTGAATAGCACACAACAACAATCTTCAAACTATTTAGGCTCTTGTTGAATCCTTTTTGGCCCAGCTCAGGCAAGTTTTGCTAAGTTTCACCTGCATGGCCCAATCTCTTCCGAGTGCCAACAAACCTTAGAATAGCCCATGCTGAACACAGATCCAGAATCCATGAAGTGATGAATTTGGGGGGAGACTTGCCACGATCTGTAAAGATTAGCTTCAGCTTGAGGCATGTGCGTCAGCTCAGAGCTGTCGTCAACCTGGCCGTGATCCGTTTTCTGTTACCTCTCGCACGAAGAGCTGCATTTGCCAGGTTAAGTATCGCTTTAGCACACTTACCAAGCCTCTCAACTGTTTGTGTTCCTGACACCTGAATTGTTAACCCCTGACATCCTGAATGAGGTAGAGGCCAGAAGGTAAAATATTCTGCTTATTTGCTCAGTGGCCCCTGGCCTCTGTATATGTTGCATCTTGGACCCATCCCATTTTGATCAAGCCCACGGCCAGGGCATGGGTGGGGCTATGGACCTGGTCGCCGCGGATGCCAAGGTCTTGGTGGCATGAACCCCAGGCGATCGCAGCGAGAGGCATGGCGTGATTCCTCTAATGATTGCTCCATTTAATGCCCACTTGTGCTGAAAATTGTATCCCTACTGGAGGATTAGTGTCCTCTTCAAGGGACCCTTGAGGGTTGTAGGTCCCTTGGGTGTCTTGGGAGTTTCCATGCTCGTCTGACGAAGTCGGTTTTTTTCATGGGCTTTAGGAATGGACGAAACCTGAGACTGAAAAGACAGCTTTGGCACTCGGTCGCAAAGTTAAACCCGTGAACCTCATAAACTATATTTGCGAGCAACGGCGAGGGAACATCCCTGTCGCGCCCATTGTGTGAGGTGGCTGTAAGACCTTTTCTGCATTTGCGGTGAAGTTTCAAGATGGTGGGCGCATTCGACGATGTTATTATAGTGTTGACTGCGGATATGTCACAATTCTGCAAGTTGTTGCATCATCTCTTCGCTGATGGGTGCCTCGGTCTGGTAGCTTTCGCAGCTTCCCCCGCCCCCAGAAGCACTTGTTTTTGCTGATGATGCTTGCTGCTTAAAGCCAAAGAAGTCAAAGTACCTCTAGTTTTGCTGGCGTGCGCTTGCTAGACTGGGGCCACCAGACACCTGCATTCTTTGCGATTGAGGCGCAGAACCACCCTCCTTTCCAGCAACTTGACACCTGACGGAGCGTCACTTCGGGATGAATTTGATCTTTATGTTGCTGGGAGACAGCGCGCTTAGGCGGAGAAACCTGACGGACTGCTTTGTACTTGAGGTCATGGAGCATGTGGCGAAGGGCAACAAGCACAAGCTCAAGAAGAGTGCTCCCTGCATGTGGTTGGTTCTTCCAAAGATCCGTACAGGTATCGTATTAGAGTCATGGGCATCAGATTCATGTCTACTTGAGCACAGCGCCCTGGTTGCCTCCAAGCCAGACCTTTGTTTCTTTTCTAAAAGGACTGCTAGGAGCAAGAAATGTCTGATTTGGTCGTCACAGCATCTTGAGGGGGTCTTGAAGGCGCCAATCCACGCAGACTCAAGACAGCACAAACGGTTTGGCAAGGGCCACGCAGTGGTCACAGGGCCTGCTTGATCCAAGCAAGGTCATCATCACGCACGAGATGAGAAAGGGATCGAACATCCTTTGAGAATGTCTCAAAATTGTCGCATCCAAAAAAGCTGTCCATTGTGGCTTGTTTCCAAGAGAGAACAAAGAACCTTCACTTGCCCAAAGCCGATCTTTTGGGACCTTTTGGTCCCGGAAGGTTAGGTTTACCGGTTATTTGCGAGTCCTTGCAAGTCACCAGGAAACGCCGAGAAAATCTCAGCCAATTGTCTCACAGGCTGTCAGCTGCCTCTCACCGGCAAGAGGGCCAGGGCCGCAGAGCAAAAGAAGTGCCGGGCACTTCTAATCAAACACGAGGTTCACGTAGAAGGGACACTCACCAGAAAAATCGCTACAGCCGCCCTGGAAGTCACATGGAGCTTTGATCTCTGGCATCTGGGGCTTGGAAACTAAAATCCCTCTCGAAACATGGCCCTTCCCAGGAGAAACCTGAATGCCGTTATGGTGACCAAACCTGTCTAAGAACTCCATGTTCCATGGACATCAGGGTGTTGGATAGCCTCCAAATCACTGGCCGATTCCAAGTCGTGCGCCCGGATTCCCCACGCCACCCCCTACTCTTCTGAACAGGGAACTTCTTTCTTTGTTCAGCTCAGCGATCGACCCCGAGTCGACCAGTGACCCAAGGTCAATACAGAGCTGCCTTTTTTAGTTTGTGAATGGGTAGGCAAGCTTCAAGACTCTCTGGCCAGAAGCCGTTAGCCATTGCTATGGTCATTTGACTGGACCTTGTGCCGGTCCACGTGGTAGTTGCGGTACTCTGGTTGATTGTGGGGCAAGTTGCCCTGCTCAAGCCTGGTTTTCGCTGACATCTTGCTTGATTGTTATGGGACAAGTTGCACTCAAGCCTACTCGCTGACATGCTGGAGGTTTGATTCGCAGGTGGTGGACCGCTGTGTGACGGATATGGGTGTCTTTGACTTTGTCACCACCGGACCTGAGGTCCGGGCCTTGGGGGCTTTGAGGGGTTGCGGGGTGGGCAAGTTGCGTGGAGCGGTCTGGGGCGTTGAAGTGGATTGAGGCTTGGTTTGGGAGTTGGTGTGGTGTTGTGGATGGTTCGACCTGGCAAGCTGTTTGTTGATTGACGAAAAAGGTTTTTCTAGGTGCCTGGTCAGCACTACGTCGAGTGCAGTGCAGGCCCCTCCTACCTTGATCGAGATCGCCCCAGGCTGGGTTTCTGGGTTTCTGCAAGATGTGCAGCCGGAAAAGGGTACGTAATCCGACAGGATGCGCGCGCAGCATCAAAGCAGGGTTGCAGTGTTTGTTTGAGGTGGGAACAGCGTGCACGACTCTAGGAATGCATGGACATGTTGCAACTGAACATGCGACAAGGGGATATGTGTTGACCAATGCTGGCATCTGGAGTGTGTCAAACTTTGACACTCTCTCGCACTGGGACAAGAACTTTGTACATGTTTGATGCTCAGTTGCCGACATTAAGTTCATCATGATGCGTCTCATCAGATTGTGGGCTGTTGCATTGACAACAAGACGAATCATTAAGCGCCCCAAGTAGCTGCCATCCTCTAGCATGGCGTGAATGACAGTAACAGTCCATGCGGAATGCAAACTAAAAAACTGCGATATCATATACGCATTCGATGTGAAACACAGTGATGCAGTGTCTTGGCAGATTACTTTTGACAGCACGATCCCACTATGTTTGTTCCTTGCTTTTGTGTGTGTGTGTGCGTGTGTATTGGGTGTCACGTTCGTTCAATGACTTAGGAGCCGGATGTATAATTGACTTCAACCATTCCACATCATGATGCTTCTCATGTTGAACTGATCGGCCGAACAGGCAAAAACCGTTTGCATACATGTCGTTTGTACCCAAGTGTCCTGAGCTTAGCTCCACTGTGTGCCGTGTTCAGAAGATTGCCTGGGGTCAATGTGAATCGTCATCAATCCGTTTGTGCGGCATGTCTCATATATATATATATATATGGGTTTGTCTTTCTTTGTTCTGTTGAGTTGCTTCAAAAGGCAGAAGGTGAGACCTCCCCGAATCATACCCCCGAATCATACCCCGAATCATACCCCTTAAAACGCTTTTCTTCTGCCATTTGTGTTGTTTGATGCCTCCACAACCACCACCACCAGCGCTACCTACTACTAATACTGCTACTACTGCTACTACTGCCACTACTACTACTACTACTACTACTACTACTACTACTACTACTACTACTACTACTACTACTAGCCACCACCACCACCACCACTACTATTACTACTACCCACCACCACCACCACCACCACTACTATTACTACCACCACCACTACTACTACCACTGCTACTACCGCTACTACCGCTACTACTGCTACTACTACTACCACTACTACCACCACCACCACCACCACCACTACTACTACTACCATCACCACCACTACCACCACCACTACCACCACCACTACCACTACCACTACAGCTGCTGCTACTACTACTACTACTACTACTACTACTACTGCTTCTACTTCTTCTTCTGCTGCTACCCGTACTACTACTACTACTACTACAACTACTACGAATAGTACGACTACTACCTTTACTGCTACTACTACTACCACCACTACTACTACTACATTCATCATTCTGAGTTTGTAATCAGATCCGCTTTGCAACTAGCCGAACCATACCCGCGAATCATACCTGAGTCATACCCGGACAATGAGCTTCCCTTGCCAAGGCTAGTGCCAAGTCCATCACAAAGCTTCTGCACCGCTACAGCCGCTGCTGCTTCTGCTTCAACAACAACAACAACCACTACTGCTACCTACTGCAAGTGCTACTACTATTGCTACTGTACTACTGCCGCTTCTACTACTGCTTCTGCTGCTCCTGCTACTACTACTACAACTCCTGTGCTCCTACTCATCTACTACTACGACTACTACTATCCTTACAACGTGCACGGAAGCTAAGCAGACATCAACTGCTAAGCTACCATTGTTGTTAGCATTAAACTTGCTGTTGCTACAACCGCTGCTGCCCACCACCACCTGCTGCTGCTACTACTACTACTACTACTTCTTCTTCTATTACCGTTCTTATTCCTTTGGCCTACCTGCCCGATGGCCAGACACAACGCTGGACGCGGTGAAGGAGGCTACAGGCTTCGACTTCAAGGTCGCGGAGCCTCTGAAGACTATGAGCCTCGGCAAGGGAACCCGTCGTGCTTTTCCTCGGCTCGGAAATTACCAGTGTTGCCTTGGCCGAAAGAGAAAACCAACGGGAAACCACATGTTGTTTTGATCTTGTTGTTTTTGTTTTTGTCTTGCGTGTTTTGTTTTTTGTTTTTTGTTTTTTTTTGGGGGGGGCGTCCCTCTATCTTGACACATTCCAAACTGCTCTCGCTTGCAAACTTTCTAGCTTGCGGCTATGGTGGATTGGCGAATCCAATTTTGTGTAGACAACCGCTGAAAGTTGTTTGGCTTGCTGTTCATGGTTCCCCCCACACACAAGACCAAGGATGTGGATGCTCCCACAATAACAGGTGATCCTCGAAATGGTTCAGCAGTGTCAAATTTGGTGAATTGATCTATTTCAGCGAGACGAATGACGAGGTTGGCCTGATGTCCCTTACTGGACGTGCTGAATGCCTGGCCATGTAGGCCGCCCAGTTCTGTTTTCAAATTCACGTGTCGGTGGGCACACTTGGTGCACGCCAACTTTGAAGTAGACTGCCACGGCCTTGTAAAAGGCTTGATGTAGAGAATAGCCCTCTCCTGGCAATTCCATCAGGCTAACCCAGGCGCGACGGAACTGAACACCTATGTGACACATTCGAGAATGGTAAAAAAATGAGTGTCTTAATAGCAATCTGCGATCCCTTTACACCACAGGGGAGCCAGCTGAGATGCTGCAGTGTCGGGAGAGTGTTAATCTCTGCCCTTTGAAGTTAAAGGTTGCGGAGTTTTGCAATTATCTGGCCCGGCCCCACGTTTTCGGTGCTTTTGTAACAGCTTGGCCATGGGGCATGGGCTCTTGAGCATGCGGGAGCTGCAGCTTCAGGCAGCTAAGCTTGCGTCGATGCGGCAAAATGCGTCACACCACGTGTGGTTCGTAGATTGTTGTGCGTAGAGTGGCATGCAGCTACGGAGACAACTTCTGCGTTTGCCCTGTCCCTGCGGCTCGAGCAGTTGCAGGCAAGGCTCCCAGAGGTTGCCTTCGTATTGCGTCACATATCAGTTCTCAGTTTAGCCGTGTTCAGCAATGTTTATGTACCTAAAAATAAAGTGGTGGCGCATCATGGATCGGAAATGCTAAACTAGGTGTTATTTAGCATGACAACCACATCACCATTTGTAGGATTTTGATTGCGTTCTATGTGATGAGCAGAGACTTCAGGCGAGGGCGCACATGACGAGCAGGGCCTTCATACAATGGGTGCTGTTTGTTTCGTTGTGGCAAACGTTTTGGAGGACGTGTGGAAGGCAAACCAAAATAACTGGTGTCCCGAAAAGCAGCCCAGAACAGCTCACAACATCTGTGATTTCTTGCGCCCTCCGCCAGATGAAGTTCCTCACCGGAGATGATACTGGCCTCATTAAATGGGTGCACGTCGAAAACCAGAAGGCCAGATTTTCCATGCTGGTCGCTACTCCCCTACAAACTAGTATGGAGCCCAAAAGCGGCGGTTCCCCAGAGTCAGGCGTTTTTTGGTGATGTAATGAAGGAGCTGGGCTGCAACATACAGAAGTGTTGACCTCTCCTTGCGCACACGAGCAACCTGCTCAGAGAATATGACACTGGCTGCCTGCAGGGAAACTATCACGGGGAAGTACACACATAGGCCGAGAGACAAGTCAATGAAGCTGTTGACGTAGAGCGCGCTTAGTCGTCTCCTCGTCCAGAACACAGTCCCTTCCCTGGTTTATTAGACCGACGTTGCTCAACCAAGACGGGATCTAAGTTTTGGACATTTGGCATTGTTACGTCCATCAAATCCATGACCTGCAAATGACCTAGGCACGCATTCATGTCACACATGTTGAAAGGAGCACATCATCCTTAATTCGAACTCTGCATGTTTGGGCCGATGAAAACACATGAGGTCTGTTCATCAATTTATAGTGGTGGCATGGTTCATTCAAAAGAAGCATGGTGGACTCACTAAAATTTCCCAATGAAACCCAGGAAACTCTCTCTTCCCATGTCCTCGCGGAGCAAGTGATTTTGACCGTACCTCACGTGAGTGCCCAGACTTCTTTTGATTTGGCGGTCATTTTGTTTTGTCCGGTCCGGTGCTTCCAGTCCGGCTGTGGCCAAGTCCGTTCCGTGGTGCAGCCTATGTTTTCTCGTTGTAATCAATGCCAAATCATCCCAACTACATGAAAGAATTATTTGCAAAAGTGTTTGCTCTTTCATGCGTGTTGTTGGGAAGGTGAGGTACTGTATGTTGTCCAGCCTACATGTGACAAGCTTGCCGTTTTGCCGCGCCCCTAGGGGGTGGGAAATCCACCAAGATACAACTGGGCGCGGATCGCGGATCAAGCCCTGCCCCAGAAAAAACAAAGGCGCCAAAAGTCACGGCGAATCGGCTCGTGCTCTTTCAAGGTTTTGGGAGCTCAGATATCGGAGGTAATCTTTCACCAGAGGTTGACATGGTGCTAAAATGAGAAGACTTGGAGCAACTTTGAGCAGTCTTCAACAAGTATAAACCTGAAGTGTTACCAAAAGGACTGTCCTTTGTCACTGGCGCGTGGACTTGTCCTTGATTATTGTGCGCGGGAATCATGTGGAATCCCCTGACGACCCGTCAATGTCCGAAAGGCCTACTTGAACTTGACATGCCGCAACATAGGGATTTGACAACATAGGGAGTGTCCCATCCCGGATCCAAAAAGCCAATAGACAGCAAAGCAGGTTCCCAATGGTGGCCACATGTTGAACATCCCGCAACGATTCAGCTGTACTAACTATACGAGCTCGCGTGGAAAACGAGCTCATGCATGATGAAAGTCCCTCAACGGTTCCTCAAAACAGGTGGGTGAAACCAGGTGTGTGAAAAGTTACTCCTCCTCAGCACGCACCCGATGTCAGGCATGGGACTGAATTTTGTCACAGCTTGGTGAATAGTGGGTGCCCAAAATGGATCCAAATGGTGGTTGGTCCAAGGGAAACCAAAGAAAACCAAAGGAAGCCCTCGTTTTAGAGGAGCCTAGTGGTAAGCGCAGGATCCCTGCCCCAGGTGGAGCGCTTCGGGGCGCGGCGCAAGGGAGAGGCTGTGCAACGCCTTTGTTGGGCCGGGCCCCCTGATGCCCCAGAGGCCAGGGCGGATGTGGACGGTGTTCACTTTGGCGTTCCCAAGCTGCAAGAAGGGTACCCTCAAAGAACACGCCCATGAAGTGCCAGGCTTTGTTGCTGTTCGTCGTTGTTTGTGGTTGTGTCGATGTGTTTGTGTGATTAGCCATGTGTTGACACGTCTCCTGGGATGTCGCGATAGTGACTGACCCATGTTCGGCTCAAGTTTGCGGGTCCGTCGCGCCTCGGATGAGCGTCGCCGGGTCCCCGCGTCGATCACCTTCGTGTCGGTGGAGAAAGAGACACCGGCCCGGGGCAGATTGATGGGGATCGCTCGTGCGGCTCATCGTCGATCAAGGTTGCGGGTATTTGCATTCTTGCTTTGGTTTTTCTCTTTGGTTGTTGTTCTCTGGTGTGCGGGAAACCCTGATCTTTGGGACCAGGGATTGGTTTGCTTTTGGGAACCTTTCTTTGTGGCTTGTTTACCCCAACTAACCCTTCGCCTGGGCACAGGCTCGTGCCCGAATCACAGTTTGTTTGGCCGGGGTGCTGTGTCTGTTTTGCAACATATATTTGATTAGCTAGGCATGTTGTTTTGGGTGCGTTTGACCCTTTGCAGCGGTCCATGTGGCTTTGTGGAGGTGTTGGCAGTGGCGGCGGCAGCGGTGATGGTGGTCGTTCTCGTTCTCATGGTCGTGGTTGTGGTTGTGGTCGTAGTTGTGGTCGTGGTTGTGGTGGTGGTGGTCGTGGTCGTGGTTGTGGCTGTTGTGCTGGTCGTTGTCGTGGTTGTGGTGGTGGTGGTCGTGGTCGTTTGTTGATCGTTTGTGGCAGTTGGGGCTCCGCCGCAGAGACTTGGCGTTCCCAAAGTCTTGCTAATCCCTAGGTTGACGTTTCCGTGTTTTGCAGTCACCAGTACAGCCACCACGAAGCAGGCAGCGCTGGGCATTGCCTATGCTTCGGGGGCACTGGAGCTGAGAGATCTCGCAGGAGCTGGGAGTCGTGAGGTTCAATGATGGGCGAAGTGGCGGCGAAGTGTTCATAAATACATCTTCGGGGCAACTGGTGTCCGCAAACCTCCCCTTATGCATCTGAGAAATGGTGGGAGAGTAATATGTTTGTGAGTATTGTGAATGGTTGATTGCTCCAAGCAACAAACAGACACTTTGCAGACGTTATTCAGAATCAGGTTTCCCTGGCTGTTTGCCTTTTCTATTCAAATCGGGGAGCTGATTGGACAACTTAAAAATGTAGCTGGCCAATGCACTCAGAACAGGACTTGGGTTTAGATCTCGAGGATGTGATATTGTCTTGGCATTTCTGATGGCTCCATGACATGTTCTGCACCTCCAGGGCGCAGCCTCAGCAGTGCATCCACTTCCCCAGAGGTGAAGTGCCTTCAGGTGCGGCATGACATGCGTCGTTTGAGGCAATCACAAGATACATTGCAGTTGCTATGTGGATTCGATATGGGAGCTTGTCAAACTGGCCGGTTCAGCCTTTGTTTGCGGACCCCCGGAGGCCGAAAAGGCCGAGGTGAAACAAACGCCTGCGGTCCATCTGCAGGCATGCAGCGCTGGGCTGCTGGCTGTATCCAGTGATGGCACTGCCAGCGTTGTGTCGGAGTGGGGCCAGGCCGATGGCGTCGGCCAGGCGTTAGGTTCTGCTGCCTTTGGGATGAGGTTGAAAAATGCAATGTCAAATCGTTGGGATTTATCGTGTGATGGGACAAGATGAGGGCAAGTCTTGCAGTTTGCGACTTGAGCTCAGGCGGATGCGTTCTCTGAGTCGGCCTTCCAAGGAGGCCAGCCTGATGTGCGCACGACAATGATGCTAAAGCATGGAGGTAGTTGAATGGAAGTAGATGAACGAGAGGGCGAGAAGGCTAGCCCCAGCGCAGGTGCCGCGGCCACCGTGGAACAGTTCCAGTTGCAGGCACCGGAAGCATTTGCCTTGAGCCCGAAACGTGCCACATATGGCAAGCACAGATATGACAAGCACGTCATATTGACAAGCAGTCAGGATAGATACCCTCCCTCCCACGTTGCCATGCCACCTGACAGAGGGTCCCTTGAAGAGGAAGTTTATCAGGTACCCTCCCGCCCTCCCGCAAATGCTAATAGTGGAAGCGAGGGTAGCAGGTGAGGTCCAAATTTGGATTTTGTTTGACTGCCCTCAAGTCAAGTGCTAGCGCATGAGACGTTGAGCCCTTCAAGCCAAAAAGCGCCAAACGTGTTCGTTCGGAAGGGGCCTGTGGCGACAGCTGCTGTGGATCCTTGCAGGCAGCCGAGTTCTTGCGTTTTCCCTCTTCCATTTACTGAAGAGTATGTGTTGTTTTTCTCTTCTGGTTTTAAAGGGAATCTATCACTGCTGGAAATATATGGTTCTAGGGGACTGAAGCAAAATGAGGCCCTTTCTTCATTGCTTCGATTCCGTGGAAAACATCAAAGCGATGTGTTTTTTCTTATCCATGGCAACCGGGGGTTTGGGAAATAGCTTGTTAGCTTCCATGGGTGAGAGTGTAGATGTGCCCGGAATAGATGTCTTTGTTTTGGAACTTACATTAGCTGTTTTTGGATGTCGTTTTGGACGTTCACATTGACCAAGCGACACAGCCAGTGAGCGAGCCGTCGTCAGAGTCCTGATATAAAAAGGAAAGAATGCGGCAATAGAATGCCATTAGCGTGGTTGGTGGCCTTTTCTTTATTTGATTTATGTCTGGGGCTAGAAACAGGGCACAGTCGAGGGCTTGGTGGTGTTTTAAATGACGTCCTCCACTGTGCACTGTTTCTAATTCACAGAAACACAAGGTCCTCGACTGAGCAGTGTTTGAGCCCTGTTTTTGCCCAACACATCAAACAGCAATGCCAGGTCTTCGAGTAACATTCAAATAGTGCCTTGCTTCAACCACACCGGAGCTGCTGTGCTTGATGCGAGGCCAAGCCTCGTGCTAGAACCCGATCATGTTAATACCCCATGGCAGGCCCTCCAGGTTTGCGTTTGGCGGCCTGGAGAACGCTCTCAGCTTAGTTTCTGGTGAGCTGTGGGAAATGCTTCAAGTTTGTTAGCGATGCGTGTGCGTGTGTACAATTTGAACTATCGCCGAATCAAAGCAGTTTGAATCGTGACATCGCATGCCCAGCTTTCCTCGGGCTTGTCATGCACTTGCATGCCTTGGATGCCTTGCAGTATGTGTTTGTGTTTGTGTGTGTGTCTCAGTTTGGATTTGTACGTGGTTGTGGGCATGCACGCTCGAGTATTCGATTTGTGACGTCTCACATGCCACTGGCTGAGGATGTCAAGATCTACGACCTCGAGCGGAAAGAGGCATCAGAGTTATGCTAAGACTGATTTGGGAGGGTCATGCAAACTCAGCAGAGCCTTTGATACCTGCTTTGATAGAAAGGGCATCTACTACCGTGCTATGCCAAGCCCACCGGCCCTTTCAAATGACTCGCAAGTTTAAAAGTGCTTGCAGATTGGGGGCAGTGTTCATCTCCTGCATGAGAAATATGGGCTGGACTAAGACAGATCATGCCCCTTAAACGTGGGGCAATTGGGTGCAATGATGTAGTATGCAGCAGCAGTTTCCGACAATTCCCCCTGCCAGCTGAACTGACAGGTGGTTTGGACGGCGAAGAACGTCCGAGAGACGCTCGAACGGGTTTGATGGGAGACGTGCTAGCTCATGATCATCCTTCCCAGCCAGTTTGGTGGGTCTGCATATGCCAAGAATTGAGGGGTCATTCATCAAAGTACACCTGACCAAACACATGATCTGCAGCAAAGATGCAGCTCAGGAACACGTTGTGCCTCCGTGTTCCGGTGCCCCACCTAGCTGTGGTCACGCCGGTCCCGGTTGCAAGTGGTCTGAGGTCAAGGTGAACACAGTCGGCTGGGCAACAAAGATGTGCCCATCAAGATCGCTGATAACGTGGAGCGCTCAGAAGGGAAGCAGAAAGCCTCCCCGAGTCCTAGAAGAAGTTTCATGAGTGCAGAGATGCGCCACGTTGGTCTCAGCCGGGCGTTGGAATCTTTTAGGTGTGGAACTGGCGATGGCAAAGTCCGCGTCTACGATGCTAATGCACAGAGAAGGCAAGGCCTTGGGCGCGTGCAGCTAGGGACCATCTGAAAGGGTCAATTTGGAACCTTGGGAGAGTCCAGCGGCACGTGATGGCTCGTGTGATTCGAACTCGGGAAGCGGATGGAAGGGGCAAAAAGCAACGGTGAAGGGGCGAGAAGGCTACCGCTAAGCCAGCACACAGTCGTGTGACACCGTTTTAATGGCTTTTGTCAATCCATCATCCACCATCAAGCTTGCCTCAGCAAAACAACCAAGCACCAGAGGCCAAACAAGGGATGCTGGGGATGCAGAAAAGACTGCTTTAGCACACGCCCCAGAATACAAATGACAAGCGAGTTTGCATCATGTGCAGTTACATCCTTCAAGACTGTTTCAACAAGCATGATTCAATGATGTTAATGGGGATGCGTTCGAGCAACTGGACCGTGCATGTACTTATGGGAAACGGGGCAAACTCGACTCTCCATGCCGACTTCGATGAAGCGTTGTTTGAAAGGAAGCAAGAAGGCAAACATGCGGGGTTTGCCCAGATTGCGAGCCCAAAATGCAGGCCCTGAAAGCCATTAGCTCAACTAAAGTCGGCAGATTTGCTTCCAGGTTGATGTTACCAGATATAGCCTGGCTTGCTGATTATACTCAGTACCGAAAAGGACCATTCCTGGAAAGCTGATTGACAGGCCGCTGTTCGAGCTGCTCATTGGCTACCTGGTTGGATCAGGCCAGACTTTTCCTGGGCATTGCAACGTTTGATGTCATCCAATTCGTGAGGGTACACGGAATGCAAAGGGTGTCAAATGAGTGCCTGCTGGCTACTGGCTGCTGGCTGCTGTTTGCTCCTGCACGTGTTGTGCGAATGTTATTGTTCAATGAAAGTGGATTTCCTTGCTGATCATTGATCTTGCATTTGCTGAACGCTTTGTTTTTTTCCACGTGTGCGTGATGATTGCGTTGTGTTCTTATTAATCCTATTATTTGTCATCCTCCTCCTCCTCCGCGTCCTCTGCTTGTTATCATCCCTCATTGTCCTCTTCCTTTTTCGAATATGTAATTCTTATTCGTAGTCTTTCTTATTTATCTTCTGATTATGCATCATACTACCGCCACTACTACGTACCGCCACTACTACTCTACTACTACTACTACTACTACTACTACTACGACTACTACTACCACCACCACCACTACTACTACCACTACTACTTCTACTTCTACTTCTACTACTGCTACTACTACTACTACTAGTACTACTACTACTACTATTACTACTACTACTACTACTACTACTACTACTACTAGCACCACTACTACTACTACTACTACTACTACTACTACTACTACTACTACTACTGGTACTACTAGTACTACTGCTATTGCTGCTACTACTGCTGCTACTACTGCTACTACTGCTGCCACTACTGCTACGCCTACTGTTTGTTCTTTGTTTTTTTCTTATTCTTCTTCTTGTTATTCTTCTTCTGCTTTTCCCCTTCTTATTCTTCTTCTTTGTTCTTCTTCTTTGTTCTTCTTCTTGTCTTTCGCCTCGTCGTCGAGAATGCGTATCATTGTTCTTTGTTGCATCTTTGGTTGCTTTAGTTGTTTGTTGTGTATTGTTGTCGCATGATATATTTGTTCGTGTTTCTGTTCCTCTCTGTGCTGGTGAGCTGTTGTTGCTTCGCTAGCCCTTTGCTCTTAGGGCCGTTGCATGTTGGCAAGTGTTGCATTGCATCGTGGCAAGGTGTTCACATTGGCGAATTCGCACGTGCTGCAGGCACCGGTGGCTGGACGGGTGCTGTGGACGACACGAAGAGGCCAGCTGCCGATTGGAATAGAAGCCAAGGAAGAGATTCCATGGCACGTGGCTCAGGCTTTCTGATTGCTTCATGGTCTGACCTGGTTTCACAGGCCGCAGATTTGCAGCAAGATAGCGCAGGTTCGCAGTGTCCCCAGCATCAAATGTGACAGCAAAAGAGCCTTATTCACCCAGCATGAACCGCCTCATGCAAGACAATGACAAGATATTGAGGTTGTGAGAGCGCGCGCGCACGCGCACACACACACACACTTTCACAAGCTCCTGATGCTGGATCCAGAAGAGAATAGTCCCGTGTGTTTTTGCTGCTACCAGGAACAATGTCATGTATGTGTGTGTGTGTGTGCTGGAATGTGGAACAGACAAACCCGGGAACATACAAGTTGCAAACCCCACAGAGCAAAACCGAGCTTTAACAAAGCCAAGAAGCAGGAGCAAACTTGAAGGAATCGAGTAGCTTCAAAGGCGGATAGCCAAAGGCACTGCCCGGTCATTTTTTGTGTCTACATTGAGAGCGCCTTATTTGGTTGTTTTGAAATGGAGAACGGGAAACCGCTGCCTGCTTCGAGTCTCGAAGCCCATTGTTCCCGCGCTTAGGTGGAGATGACTGGGCTCTCTTGATCGCTGACACCTTGGGTGTGATCCGCGAGCCCGAAGCTGAGGACACATGTTTCCCTTGAAAAACCCAGGTCTCAACACCCGGCGTCCATTTTTTCTACAAGACTCAACACCGCCAGAAAATCAGTGTTTTGCCAGAGACCAGCCAGAAGCGGAGGTGAGAGGGCGTTGGAAGAGAGCAACCTCAACAAAGTTGATCATTCCCTTATTGGTTTAGTGACGCATTCTATGTGTGCATGTGTGGCGGATTCTGCCCTCGTAGCACGGTAGCTGTGAGCTGTTTGGTTGGGCTCCGTTTGCCATCCATCGTATGAGGTCGGCATTTTAGCTCTAGAACAAAATCTTTGACGGTCGCAGCAACGAACAGTGCAACAGGAACTCGTTTGACACTGGCACGAATTCAGACGCGTCAATCCCGAATAATACATTCATTGTGTGGTGGAAAGGTGTGGGGCCCGGGTTGTCGACTAGCTGCAGGATTCACTAGCTAAGCAGCAGACTAGGCAGCAAGCTCACTGGCTAACTGCACCCGTTTTAGGCCAGAGATGTTTGCCCCCAGTATAGGGACCTGTCGGATGTTTACCGCGCGAGGTACGACCTCCGGAATTTGCCCAAGGCCCAAGCCGCGGCGGCGCCGCCCGGCAGGAAGCCGAAGCCTTGGGACGAGTCGGCTCGGCTTTCTGGGCTTTTGGCATCGGATTTGATGGGAGTTTGACGTTGAACTTTTTGGTGCTCAGGGAATGAGGGAATCCCCCTTTTTAACCATCCAACTGGTGGTTTCCTTTCCTGGGTTCATTCCCACATTTAAGGACGGTCTTTTGTTCACATGTTTTAGCAAGGCCCGTGGGATGTTAATCTCGACTGCAACCGGTGGGATGTTCAGAGGAGGTGTATGATTTTGATAGGAAGCTGGCCGTCACATGTGGTCCTAGAAAGCTCAGATGGGTAAAGTGGGCGCAACTATGATGAAGATCCCTTGTGGAGGCCCCTCAGTTCGGGCGATGCAGTTCTTGTAAGTTGTCCAGATGGAGCGTGTTTCCAGTTGGTGTTTGAACACAAACGCTAGCGAGCCAGACTAATATTTGGAATTTAAACGGCGTGGCCAGTGCAGAAGTCATGAAAGGAGCACCCTTTGTTGTTTGGTGCAATTGCCTCGCGGTGGCTTGTGTTAAATAATCCTCGTGCTTCCGCGTATCACGTCCCCTACAACATTTGCAGGGGAAGCCTCGATGCTTCCAAGCAAGAGGCCGGACAGCGTAGATGGAACCAGGCTCCCCATGAAAAAGCTTGACCTTTCGGGTGGGCACAATGTTGAGAGTAAAGAGTGAATGAAAGGGATATGCCTTTGACGGCACAATTTCTTGAAACCTGACGAGTTCCGAAACATTCACTCAGATGTAAATGTCGCTTCATCTAAGTTTGTCTTTTCTAACTCCAACCTGTTGCTGGTCTCGTTGTGTTACCTCCATGTTGAAGGTTAAAGGGAGACAAGCCCATGGACTCACTTTGACGGACAGAACTCAAACAATGACCTTGCCATGAATTCCTGAAGAATTCCTCGGCTTTCCAAGGGCAATCCCAGCTCAACATGTCACCCCGAGGGCGCACTGGAAGATTGCCAACAAGGAGCCTGCACTTAGCGACTTAGGCCGACTTAGGCCTACTCCCTTTGGCCTTTGCAATGGTGAGGATACTCAATATAGCGTTTTCAATTACATGTGGTTGAACTGAGTGAGTGCTGCAAAGCGTGGTGCATTCTGGTCAGTGTTGCCTTCCAAACGTATGCAGGAGGAAGGACGATGACAAAAACAGCAAAGCAAGTTGCTGCTTGATGCCAGCCCTGGAACCTTAGTCTTACTTACTTTCCGCGCCGCAGTCCCGGCAGCCAAGAGAAGGAATATCCTGGAAGCGTATCGTCGCGAAGCACGGAGGGTAGCGTGGCCAGGAGCTTCCCTTCCGGCGAGGCTTCAGGCTCGTACCGCATGGGATGCCCCAAGCGTTGGCTTGCCTAAGGAACCTCATGGATGCCGGATAACGTCGCCTCCAAATATCGCTGGCCTTGTCAAAGAATCGGATTGTCGGCACCTTTGGTCTTTTTGTTCCCGGAAGTTTGGGACATGCTTTTGACTATCTGACAGACAGCGACCGAAATTCGCTGTCAGGGGTACCATGGGTGCTATCCGAGACATGGATGTTCATTGCAGCCCGAACCCCAGCACATGGCAAAGAGCGGTCAAACCAGCCGATTTCTTTGGATCGTTTTTCGTGGTGCTCTGGTGGGGAATGACTTCTGTGTGAAGTTCGTTCCAGGCAGAAAAGGCGGCATCGGAGATGCCCCGGACGACCATGTGTGTTAGTTATGTCCAAAACCATGACACGTTTGCCTGGGGCAGCCCTTAGACGGGATTGGAATCTCGAGAATTTGTTAAGCATTGTTTTTATGCCTTTTGTTGTGTTCCACTTCAGGATGTTGAATCTCTGCAAATCCCTTGCATGGAAAATAATATCATAGGAAGGGCAATCCCACATCACAAAGAAGCCTTGCTGCCATTCAGCGCATTTAGCGGTAGCCCAATGTCAAGAGAAAAGAAGCATTCGCCTGAGGAAGGCTAGAGACCCAACCTGGTTGGGGTGCCAACTTGGAAAGAGAGGAACTTCTCTGCGGAGTCCAGAGCGCAGATTTGTCTCCCAAGGCGGCGATGCGATGGTCGCAGTGGGTCTGGGGCGCTTCGCCTACGTCTTTCCCACAAAGGGTCGAAACATGATTTGCAAGGCCGGAACTCAGTAGGGATTTGGATGTCGATCTAGATCTTCGCAAGGTGACAACCTGCATTCAGGTTCCGATGCGCTGTGCTGATAAGAGTGTGACAGATGTTCCATCAGGTTTACCTAAAGCAAAAGATGAACTGCGTTCTGATGTCCAGTGAAGCGATGAAGAAGGAGGAGAAGGAGCTGCAAGAACACTCACATGCCAACCACGTTTGCCTGGAGCAGGATGGCAAGCAGGAGGAAGGAGAGGAAGAACCTCCTGAAGACGACAAGGAGGTGGACGAGCCAGGCCGCTACTGTGAAAGGCATCAAAGGCATTTCAGACACAGCGGCAGGTGATGAAGAACTCGAGGAAGACAAGGTGCCGACATATCCGCCCTGCACTTGTGGCGTCAGCTGTCGCAGACTGAGGTAGAAGAAGGCTTCTCTGATGATGAGGCCTAGAGTTGATAGAGTTAGCGGGTCAATTGATTGCCCCTGAGTCCGGCAATATGGAGAATTGTGAAATTGGCATCACCTCACACAGGCAGAGGATGCTGCCGCACAAGGACATGACTTACACCGTGTTGTTTTGCTGCAGTGGCCCTTGCAAGCATTTGTGCAGGACCAGAGGATAACCTCTAAATAGTACCGGCTGTTGGCAATCTGTTTGGTGCTGAGTACAGCGTGAGCTCGAAGGAGCAAAGCAAAAGAGAAGGTTTGGAGCCCAGACGAGCCGCGGATATTCGCAGACTTCGATCCCCTGGTCAACAACTCATTGCCGGGTTTGCTTCTTGTCAGGAAAGCCTCCAAGGGGAAGACCAAGAAGCGGAAGGCGACCTAAAATGTTCATGTTTTTGCAAAATATGGTTTATGTAGAGGTATACCGAGAGATGTATGTATATATATATATATGGAACCCCCCCCCATGGACCCTGGTTTGGTGAGCTTCAGCTGTGTTTTGTCCAGTGTTTTGTGCCTTTTTTGCCTCGTTGGTTTTGTGGCAAAATGGGGGGGGGGGTACCATATGTATACATTTCATGTGTGCATACATATGTAATGTAAGCAAAGATGTCAACATCTGCCATCTGACAGAGTCTGCATCCATCTCAGAGTTTTGGGACGAGGATTGCGATTCTCAGGAAAGACTTCTGTGTAATCTTCAATCTTGAATCTTCCATCCAGTGGTAGAAGACTTTCAAGTGCTTAGCGTTTCAAGTGCTTTTGGTGAGCGGTGTGTCTTATGGAAGCTATGCTCATGTTAACCCTTTTCTAGGAAGTGAAGGTAGGTGTAGTGCTGAAAACACTGCATGTTACAGCATTTTATGAAGAGGATCATGAGGGTTTTATAGGTTTGTTTGTTTATATCTATAATTATATATATACCGTTATCTTCTTTGGATTACGTGTTTACTTTTGCTCATCTATTATTGTTATTTATTGAAATAGAAAGAAAAAAGGAACATATATTTGTGCTTAAATCAATTATAAATATAATTGATTTAGATTTGTTTTAAAGGTAATTTAAGAAATTGATGATGTTTTTGAAATATTTAAATTGGAATGTTATTTAAAAACATGGTTTGATGTGTTTTTTTTTGGTGAGGTTTCGAGGTTGTATTTTTTGTGTATTGTAAAGTTGTTATAATGGTATTCTGCTTGAATTGTTATGTTTATAATGAATAATTATATTTGTTTTATTTTTTGTGGCATGAGTTTTTGGTTAGTTTTTTATTTATTTATTATTTTGTTGTTTTGGTTGTTTTTCTCTGGGTGTGTTTGTTGTTGTTTGTTGTTGTTGTTTTTTTTGTTGTTTGATTTTGGTTTTTGTTTTTTGGTTTTTGTTTGTGTTTGTTGTTATTAATGTATTATGATGATTGTGTTGTTTGGTTTGTTTATTTAAGGTTGTTGTATGATATAATGTATTAATTAAAATGTGATATAGGTGTATTTATATAATTATTTATTGAAATTATTTGATTGTATGGGATATGTTTGTGGTGATTTGTGTTTTGCATAAATATTATATATCATTTAAAAATTACAAAAATTCACAATTATTAATAAACCAAAATTAATTTAAACACATTAATTTAATAAATATAATTTAAAATAAATAAATAATATAAACAATGTAAAAAAAAAACAAAAAACATTAAATCTTATAATAATTTCCGTAACGGTAACATTAATAGAAAAATCACTATACTATTACGGAGTATAATTTATAACAAAAACAATTTTAATCTTTAAAACACAAAACAAAATAATTAAAAAGAATAAAAACAACCTAATCGAAAACCATAATATGTGTTTTTAATTTACCTAATTCGATGTTTATTTCTATATTTTATACAAATAAATTAAATATAGTTTTAAAAATTATTAAATATTATTTTACTAATAATACAATTTTAATAAATAATATTCTATAATAATATTAATAATATGTATTATTAACATATTATTTTAAAAAAAAATATTTTAGGAAATAATTAATATTTATATTTGAATTTATGATATTTTAATTAAATTGGTTGGTGATGATGATAATGGTGATGTAGCGATGATGATGATGGTGATGATGGTGATTTTTTTTTGTTATTTTGTTGTTTTTTGGATTCGTTTTTGTTTTTGGTTAAATTGATTTTTATATGTTTATTTGTGTTTTTTGTTTACTTTTTTTAATAGAATAAGGGTATTGTATTGGAGGATATATATTTTTTCTTTTCTTTTTTGATTTATTGTTATTTTGTTCATTTTTTTTTTTTATGTCTTTTTTTATTCTGTTTTGATTTATTTTTTTGCATTGTAACGTTATATCTTCTTTAAATTGTTTCGATATTCGTGTTTTTTTATGAAGTTGAATTGATATTTTATTATTAGTTTGTTTGTTTTTTATTTCTCCTTTATATTTTTTTCAATATATTTTATAATATGTTGATTATATGTTTTTTATTCCTTTTAATTATCCCTTTATATCTTTGACATTTTCTCGGTATGTTCGCTTTATTTTCTATGTGTATGCTGCATTTTCGTTGGAAATTATTTCTTTATTTTTCGTCGTGCCGATTGGTTTCTTGGTGCTTTATTTTGTTGTTTATTTTTTTTATATTGCCCTGAACTTTAGTTTTTTTTATGTCTTTTATTTATATTTTCTTTCGTTTTTATTTCCCGTTGTTTTCCTATTATATCGATTTCCTATTTCCTCCTCTTATTTCCTTGCACTTCTTTGTATTTCTTCTTTGATGCCTAATATCTCTCGTAAAAAGCACGGCTTTTCTAACGTTTTCGCAAAAAGGACGTCCAAAAACATAGAGTTATTTCTAGATTTTCGGCAAAAGGACGTAGGAAATCCAAACTAGCAAAGAGCCGGTAGGGGGGATCGAACTTAGCGTTTCCCCGAAAATTCCCGTTTAGTAGAACGTTATTAAAGTAATGCATGACATGTGCGGGACCCCCCCCTTATACCTACGTATTAGATGTTAGGCGAAGGAAGCTCAGGAGGGGATTATTCTTTATCCTTTCTTAGGTGTTCTACGCCGAGCAATGTCGTCGGATAATATCGGATATTTTTAAGAAATTTCAAAATATTTAATTATGCATAAGTAACGAATAAATTTGCTTTATAGAACGAAATCGTGAAATTTGTTCGTCGTACTTTGCGCGCGTTTTCGCGGACCGCTTTTCCGAAAAATCCCGGATATTTTGGAAAATTGGTCCGGACTGCCTTTGGAAGATATAACCGCTTTATTTTTCTTATGGACCGCGCTACCCCGGCTGTAATCCGGAAGATGCAATGGCTTCATTTTTTTGTAGGCACTAATTTCCGGAAATTCCAAATATTTTGGGAAAATCGTAGCCACCCAGCATTTTCTCGAAATATTCCGAATATTTCGGGAACCGTTTGCCCGAAATATTCTATTTTGGGAAATGCTATCGTCGAAATATCCGGCATACTTTGGAAAAATGGTCTGGAGTGCAATTATCGAAATATCCGGCGTATTTCAGAAAAATGGTCCGGGCTTTGAACGAAGCCGTTGTGTCTTTTGGACAAAGAGTCGAGGCATAAATCTGCCTGTCCGTAGCTATTTTGACTGAAATCTTGCGTTTATCTTCCGAGAGCTGCGAAAAACTATTAGCCGCGGCCGATTGTTGCGATTAATAGTGTTTTCCCGATGCTTTGGGCGAAATTAGTTTGGTTTACTTGCACCCAGGATATTGTCTGGTCGATCGCGTTTTCGCTTGCAACAACCGCGTATATGGATGGATCTTTTGAGGCCAACAATTCGCGGATTCGTTTTCACCTTGCTTAGGCGACCGCCTTTCACTAACTCCTTGGTATGACCTTATCCTACCAGCCCGGCCCTCAGTGCATCTTGCAACCTGTGTTTGGAGAATGGCGTGTTTTTCGTATGCGAAGAGTGTACATTGTTGATAATAAAATATATTAGTGTTTGAGTTGCAAAAAATGGTTTGCCGGCGCGACGAGCTCTACAAGATTTGTTTTGTTCTTGGCACGATGTTTTGGGAAGAGTGTATGAAATTTCGTCATATTGCGCCTTTGCGGACGCTTTAGTCTCGGTTTGTAGGTTGTTTTTGATGGATTAGAATGTATTGGAATTGTTTCTTATGATTGTTTTCCTTTTTTTAATACCCGTTTTAATTTACCTTTAGTTGCTGTTTTGGATTGGTGGTTTGGAATTAAATCTTAGTAATAAATATGTTTACTCTATAAAACGAAATTGTAAAAACTTGCTCCTAGCATTTGTGCGTTTTTGCGGACCGTTTTTCCGGAAAATTGTTCTGGATTGCTCTTGGAAGACGTAACCGCTTCTTTTTTCCTACGAACCGCTTACCCAAATCTATCCGGGTTACCCCGGCTATAATCCAGAAGATGTAATGGTTACATTTTTTTAGGGATTAATTTCCCGAAATATTTAATCTAAATTTTTCTCGAAATGTTTTAAATATTCCAAATATTTTGGGAAATGTTATCGTCGAAAATATCCGATATATTTCGGAAAAAAATGGTTTGGATTACAATTGTCGAAATATCCGGGATATTTTGGAAAATTGGTCTGGGCTTTGAACGAAGCTATTGTGTCTTTCAGATAAAGAGTCGGGGCATAAATCTATTTGTCCGTAGTTAATTTGGCTAAAATATTGCGCGAGAGTTTAGCGATGCGAGAAGCTGTGAGTCCCGGCCGATTGTTGCGACCAATTGTGTTTTTCTTAACGCTTTGGGCGAAATTAATTCGGTTTGCTTGCACCCAAGATATTTTCTGGTCGATTATGTTTTCGTTTGCGCTTGCAACAACTATATATGTGGATGAATCTTTTAAGATTAACAACCCGCGGATCCGTTCTTAGCTTGCTTAGGCGGTTACTAAGTTCTTAACGTGACCTTATCGCAACCAGCCCGGCCTTCAATGCATTTCGCAATTTGTGTTTGGAGATTTGCGTGTTTTTGTATGCAAAGAATATATAATAAAATATGTTGGTGTTTGAGTTGCAAAAAAAGGTTTGCCGGCACGGGCTTTACAAGATTAATTTTGTTTGTGGTATACCCATTACGCTCTGGATTTTGGCCCCTGAGAGCTCGGCTCACGCGATACTTTGGGAAGAGTGTGTGAAGTTTTGTTATATCGCGTTTTTGCGGTCTGGTTTTGGTTTGTGGGTTGTTTTTGACGGGTTAGAATATGCTAGAACTATTTCTTATGATTGTTTTTCCAGCGGGTAAGCTGCTGCGAGGGATGCTGCCAGGTGTTTGGCTTTGGCGTTGTTTCGCGCCAAAGGCCGTGTTTGTCTGTCTGTCTGTCTGTCTTATGATTGTTTTCTTTTTTTGGCACCCGTTTTAA